CGGCGGAAGTTTTGAAAGGTAAAGAGGATTGGTGAGGGGGGTTGAGAAAAAAAGGAGGAGAGAGAAAGGATGTGAGAGGAAGTGAGAAGAAAGAAAGGAGATTTTTTTTTTTATATCACAAATATAGATCGTTGGATGAAATTATAATTAAACAGTATTAAAAGGGGTAGACAAATGTAGGCAAAATAAGAGCAGGTCTTATCCCTATATATATATATATATATATATATATATATATATATATATAGGGCTTTAAACTTCTGCAGTGACAGCATGAGTTCCTCTTCGGCCAGTGACACAGAAATGGTGGACCCCATCAATAATTAAAAAAATAAAAAATGAAACAAATTTTGTTGCGGAAATCGAACTGACACCGGCAGAAGAAGAACACTTCTGCAGCAACAGCAGAAGTGTTTTCCCCACACACACACATATATATATATATATATATAATAGAAATGGATCCTCTCATGTGTAATTTAACATGATCATGTTATGTGGGATGATCTTAACCATTAATAATTAAATCAACGATGATGATTGTGTAACTTCCTATATACTTATATTTTTTTTCTCTTCTCCCTTATTACCATTAACTCATCCATGTATGGTTATGATTTCCCAACATAACATGGTCATGTTATCCACTCCCATATATATTCTACTCTTATAGTCATCGGATCCACTTTGTGGTTGTAGATGCTAATTCTCTTGGTAAAGAATCGATCACTAATTCTCTGCATGGAAGTTATTTAACATTGGAACCAACAAATATAAAACCATCTCAATGGGTAAAGATAAATGTAGATGAAACATTTGTTCAGCATAATTCAATGGGTGTTTGTGGTGGTCTGGCCCGAAATTCATTTGGTGATTGGAATGGAGGATTTTCTTATTCCATTGGAACGTGTCGTATCGTACCCTTGAAGCTGAACTCTTTGGGGCATATAAAAAGGCTTACTTTTACGTGTCAAAGCTCATCGTGGAAAGCGATTTGTTAGAGGCTATTTCCTGTGTGACTAAGAATGAAGGTGCCATGGGCTACTCCCATTTACGCCAACAAATTAGATTTTGGATGGAACAAAATTAGAGTGTCCAAATTCTGCATGTTTTTGGTGATGCAAACAAGTGTGCAGATTCCTTAGCAAACCTTGGATGTGATCATCAACGTCTTGGAATTATTACCTTTAAAAAGCTCTTTCCCCTGCATTGAACTGATTGCTTTAGGACTGATGAGGATTATGTAGGAGATAACTTGCATCTTTTGCAAGGATATTCATTTTCTTTCTTTAGTTTTTTTTCCTGTTTCTCTGGGCATGATGCCCTCCATTAATACTAAAAAAAAAGAGAACAGACTAGCATCAACAAAAAAATAAAACAAGACATTTTCTTATTATATTTCAATAAATGTGAGCACATTAATTTTTCTGATTGCATCGAAATTAATATCTTTCTTGTGTAACGTTTTTTGAATACATCTGATTACTGAATAAAGTAAAGAAGAACATTAGAAGATAAACATTTATACTCGATAACTACCCATCTATATAGCTGTTAGTAAAGTTTATAGTGAATTTAGATATAGATTTATTGCGATATCATCGAAATCCCCTAAATATATGTCCTCAGAATAAAATTAAAATAGTATGGATGTTTGAGGTAACAGCTAACTAATTAGTTTTCTTGTGGTGAATTTAATTTGATACCTAGCTAGCAATAAAATTATTTAATTTCATACTCAAGATTTCAATCCCCCCCCCCCCCCCCCCCCCCCCCAACCCCAAAAAAAAAATGTAGTAAAACGATATATATATATATATAGGGGTAGAATCCATTTACAATTTTTTTTACAAATTACACTAAGTATGACCGGTCATACACTCTTGATTAGTGTATGACCAGTCATACATAATGTAGTTTGTAACCAAAAAATTTGTATATATAACCTTCCCTATATATATATAATTTCTGCAGCCACTTTACGTACAGAAACGACAGATGTATGGTTACGATTTCTCATATTTAATATTTTTATCATTTGTATGGTTATGATTCTCCGTATTTAATACTTTCACGTATATATATGACAAATATTTGATTGCTGCACATACAACAGTTACAGAAATGTAAACCCCATATATATATATATATATATATATATATATATATATATATATATATATGTCAAATTTAAAATTTGACATCTCATCTGAGAGCCATTAGATAAAAAAAGATCAATGGTATCACATGCTTACAAATCAGAGTCGTGGATTTTTTTTTTTCTAATGATTCTCAGATGAGGTGTCAAATTTAAAATTTGGCACTGGTGATCTTACCTATATATATATATATAGTGAGGATATTTTAACTACCAAAAACTCTCACTACCAATTTACTACCCATCACATCACCATTGGATCAAAGAGAGAGAATGTTAAAAAGTTTTTGAAGAGAGAGAAAATGTTAATCTAATGGTGATTAGATAGGTAGTAAGTTGGTAGTGAAAAATTTTGGTAGTTAGAATATCTCTCCTCATATATATAAATAAGGGTTTGCATCTATCATATCACATGACACAAATTTTTTTTCTATACACACAACATTTTGTGGGGCCCACACTTTTAAAAAAAATAAAAATTAAGGCACGCAAAATGAATCTTTATAACATTATACAATCACTTTTCCTACCACATAACTCTTATAAAATCCATATATATATATATATATATATATATATATGCGCGCGCGCGCTACTAACATACTATATAGGTTGCATGGCCACAATTATATACAGTAGAAGATATATAAATATATAATAGTTAAAGTGGCCAAGAATGTAACAGATATATGATTGAGCTATTGTGGGGCAACGCGAGGCCATGGAACCAAGAAGGAATAGATTGGAATCACGGAAAGAGAGAGATTGATCATATGTTGAAGGACGTCACAAAAGCAAAAGCTGTCAAGGAAACAGAGAGAACATATCCACGCCTAGACATGTGGGCATCAGCAAAAAAGAAAAACTATGCTATAGTAAAAGCGCTTGCTTGGGATTCCGAGCTTCAGTTGCTGCTGCTGCTTCTCCTACTTCTTCTGGTGGCCTGTTCCTCTTTCTTCGAAGTTTCTTTGCTTTTATCATCAGACATTTATACATTACGAGCATGATTATATTTATAAAATTTTTCTGGGGAATAACAAATACTTTAGTATATACTTACCAAAATTTGTAAACAATTTTTTTTATAATATAAGCTAATTAACCATATATTTTTGTGATCTCTATCCCATCAATACACTACGACCAACCGACCAACACGAACCTTACTGCACTGTTTCCTCCAACAAATTAAGAGAGAGAGAGAGGGAGAGATTCGCTTTTTTGACTATGTTGTGGTACCTTTATTCCTTGTAAGCGAGCAATTATCTAACTTTGGTAATTGCAAAAAGCAAACCCAAAGCCCCAGATTCCATCTGTAAAGCTAGCCCCGTTGAATTATCATATAAATATATGACATCATAATCATAATTACATTATCACAAATCTCTTGTGTGAGATTCATTTGCATGTGCTTTATTGTATTTTATGTCAAAAGGAAACTAAAGAAGGAAAGATGAGGGCTAAGGTTTTTTCTCTTTCTTTTTCCTGTTTTTGTATTTGGACACTAGGGTTTAAACTAGCAATTTAACATTTGAGTATTTTTCAGTTTTCTTTTCCTCTTTATGGGTCTTGTTCTGTTTAGTTCTTTTGTTTTTATACAATTGAAGTCATATCTAGAGTTCTAGTCCATGAAAGATGTGTTGCATGGTTTTGAGCGGGATTTTGGCGTTTCTTTCCAACATATGAAACATATCCCCCTTTTCCACGGCTACCACTTTCGGTTAGCATATACAACAAAGAAGTACGATCCATTTGGTCAATTTCTTTATAATTTGATAATTATTTTAGCCACCAAATTGGTACAACATATTCATATTACTACAATGCAACAACATCGATAAATGTGATTCTACTCACTCTCATGGTCCCAATTTGGATGTACTCGAAGTGCTTTTTCCTTCTAACGGTTAAAAATAAGTAACCCAAGTTAAAAAAAAGGGCTTCTCGAAACATGAGACCAAGAGAGTTCTAGGTATTTGAAGTTTCTATTTAGATGATTAAAGAAGCCAAGTTTGAAGTACTAGCAGCAATGAGAGTCAGATCAAACTAGAGCTTCAACTCGACAAAATTAATGCATGGGAAAGTCGTCATTCATGAAACTGAATCATCAGTCACAATTTATTAGCACCTTGCTAGCCCCCCAAAAATGGGAGTCTCCAAGCTTTAAAATTTGCATTGTCCCCGAAGAGGAAAATATATATTAATGTAGCTGCCTACCTCGGTTCAGTTCCTTGATAGCGTTATCTACATTATGCGTGTGAGAGAGGAAGAGGTGCAGGGGATGGAGAAAGGGCCTCTTTAAGTATTGGAAAATGCATCTTTAAAATTCATTTCATTTCCTTCATTCTCTCTCTCTCTCTCTCTCTCTCTCTCTCTCTCTCTCTCTCTCTCTCTCTCTCTCTCTCCCTCTAACTATATATATATATATATATATATATATATATATATATATATATTTCTAATTGTGAATATAGTTGAGGATTCTCCTACAGTGAATATATATATAAATGCGAGAATATTGAATTGGATATAGTCAAATCCTAAAAAATCCAACGTATCTTTAGTTTGCTAGAATTTGTTACATTTTGATGCTCAAATTATATGACCATTACTTTTGTTTCAAATATTTTGCTATGATCTTTCAATTAGCCGGTTATATTATGCATAAATGATTTTCTTTTTGTCTTTCTAAGGAAGAAAATGATAGTAAGAATGGATTTAGTTAGATGAAAACAAAGAAAAGTATCGGAAGTCAGACGTTGATGATGGAACTAAGTTTCTTATACTTTACACGTGTTACAAATAGTGAATGAGTAAACATAAAAATGGCATTAATCATCACACAAAAAGCTCTAGTCCACATACATATAGCTGCACACAATTACTAATATAAGCTCAACCGTTCATGTCATATAAACAAATACACCAACTTCTCTAGCTACATGTTCATACTTGGAGTACAACAAAAAAATATTAATGATGTCCATTGATGGGAAATGGAAATAACTTGAAGAGTTGCGTACCATTTTTTCGCTTCTTGAGGTAATACAAAGTGTTCCTGGTCCTTCTTTCCCATCTATTCTCGTAAGACTCATAGAGGGTGGAACTCCTTTCCATGCATGGTTAGCAAGTTATTGATTCTAACCCTTATACCTTTGATCATTTCTATGATTAAAGCGAAAACAGCAGAATTGGAGTAGCTAGATTGATTCCAAGGATTTATCACAATAAGTGGTTCGTTGGAGGAGTGAAGCTAGGAACTTCACTCCATGCATTATTGCCACTTGAAGTCCAAAATAGATCATTTCCTGAACTACTCAAGACATTTTTTGGCAAACTCAACCCTTGATTTTCTTCCATTTTTATTCCACTTACACTAGAATCCATTGCCTTAAAATTACGAAACCTGCCACCATCTTTTATTACATAACTTGGCTGTTCAGCATTTTCTCCACCAAACTGAAACAACCCAATTTGTGGTTCCAGATTAGTCATAAAAGGGAACTGTTGATGCTGCTGCTGCTGCTGCTGATGATGATGATGATGAACTTGTTGCAGATTGGGAAACCTCCATTGGTCACCAAGTCCATTTGACATCACAGAACTACCATTATTACCAAGTGATGAACTAGTAGTACCAACTTGAAACTCAGTACTAGTATTGTTGCCATTTCTTGCCACCAACGATGTTGTTGGGATTGCCCCAAAATGCGAGCCAATGTTCCCAGAAACAAAGTCACTAGTACTATAATGATGCAAAGAAGCCAAGAATGGTAATTGATTTGGCAAATGACCCAACACATCATTAGTGCAGCCACTAGAAGAAGAATTTGCACTTGCAGAAGTAGAACCAGAAGCTTTCATAGAAGATTTTGAAGTAGTGGTTCCTTTGGTTCTTTTGTTTCTTCTACAGCCACCACCAACAGGAACGTTTCTGAGTGCACCTCCTCTTGTCCAGTAACGACGGCAAGTCTTGCAAAAATGGCGAGGCTGTGAAAGACTGTAGTTATTATAGTAACAGAACTTTGTGTTTGTTGATTCACATCGTGGACATTTCAGTGATGCATCTGGTTGGTGAATCTTTGCTAACCGAGCTCTATCAGCCATTGATCCTGGTCTTATAGACCCTTGGTAACAACCACCTGATGATCCAACGGCTACGCTTGAAGGTTGTGGCTGAGGAGGTAGTGGAATCTGGTTTCCAATTCCTGCTTGCTGCTGATTAGGTTGCTGTGAAATTTATATTTTTTTTTTACAAAAGTGTAAGACAAAAAATGTAAAAAGAAATAGCATAATTGAATATATACACACACAAAGAGAGAAAGTATATTCAGGGGAAGAAAAAAAATATAAAGTGTGTAGGAATATCTGTTTCTAATTATTTATGTTCTTAGCTTTATTGATGAAGAAGCTAAAGAAAATAAGAAGAAAGGAAAAAAAATTAAAAAATTTAAATAAAGAAAATATGGAAGAGAATTGAAGAATTAATCCTTACATGTTGTGACCAGTTGGGTGGATCTTGATAGATTGGAAGGGATGGGAAGACCATAGTTCTTGTTGATTAGAGAGCTTTCTCTTTTCTAAAAGTTTGATGGGTTCTTAATTTGGAGGGGTGTGTGTGTGTGTGGGTGTGGGTGTGGGTGGAGAATCACATCAACATGAGAGAGTTGCAGAGAGAAAGAGATCACAAGGAGATGGAAAAAAAGATAAAGGAGTATGTGGGGGTGTGTGTTTATTTATATTTGTTCTTTGTTTCCTCTTCTCTCCCTTCTCCCTCTTCAATACTCAGCTCTCTCCTCTTTTTGTTTTTATTAAAATTTGTGTGATTATTGAAGAGCACCAAACGAGTTTCTTATTCTTTAAGCACCTTTATCTTTTTTTACTGTGCCATCAACATTAAAGACTTTTACTCTCCAATCGCCATGCATGTTAAGAGTGAGTTGCCCTAGCCCTAGTTTGTACTATATGAGGTTCTTGAAGTCTTAAAAAATTTGTCAGAATAATAATAATTGGAATTTAAAAGTAAAAAGGTGATGAGTCATGGACTCATGGTGGGGAGGTCTTCGGTGGAAGTGTCACAATCGAATGTACCTTTGTTTCCCTAGGCTCTGCTCCAGGAAAAAAAGTCATTATTTTTTATTCTTTATTTAATTAAACTTTATTTTGTAGCAACAGCTTTTTAACTTTTTATGTTAAAAATGATTCGTTAATATATTATGCATCATAAATATACATAGCTTTTGCATATTGTGATATTTATTTACCACTTCAGTCCTAGACTCATAGGATTAAAGATGTATTATTATATATGAATGATACTCTCCCAGCTGCAACCTAAGGACAGAGTAGCAAGATTCAGTACCCTTATGCTCTTATGAAGAGAGGGATATAAATTCATACAGTAGATAAAAGATGTAGCATATAAAACTAGCACTGACCAAGCGAAACTTTATAATTTGTAGATTATTAGTTAGTTTTTACTTCCTTTTTTTCCACCTTTCTTATATTTGAAGTTTTTTTATAAGTCAAAGGGTATTAGACCTTCCAACTTTTATAGTGTGAATGAGAAGAAGAGCAAAATCAAATGCATCAAGATTAATCACCAATATATAAAGTGATTTTACAAACATTTATAAATAATGGACCGATGTAACATAAATATTCTGTTTTTTTTTTTTTTTTTGAAAATATCATCAATATAGTAATTATAAATATCAGTCTCCGTTGCATGTACACATCATCGTAATAACTCTTTTATTTGTAACAAAAAAATGAATTACGTGTTACCACAATACCACTGACTATTTACGTCGGTCATGGTCTGCCAAACTGTGTTGAAATTGAAATGACAGTCTTAGAGTGGAAAGTGATGGAGGGTTTCCCTGATTGGCTCATCTACAGACATATAAAACGTGCAAATTAATGGCCTTGTCATAATCTGTAAGTTTTTTTTAATTTTTTTTCCTGGTAGATATAATCTGTATTAATATTACTGTCATTAGACATACAAAATGATATTGTGCCTCAATATTGACGAATAAATGGATAAGAGCACGGCTTACTAAATGGTAGACATACAAATTTTTTGTGTAACAATATATTTTATATTCATAGAAAATATAAATGTTACATGCTATATAAAAGTATATTACATGTACTTATTTCATCAAATTAAACTAAATCATCAAAAGTTGTACACTTATATTTATTTGATGCATATATAACGTAATAAAGACTTGTTGGACGATTGCATTTTTTTTATAAAATAAAACATGATTTAGAATTAAATCCAAAAAAATAAATTTAAATCTAACGATACTTTTAATTTTCACATTCTGAGAAAAATATTATATATATATATATATATATATATATATATATATATATATATATATATAGGGGCAGAATATTCTTACACCGGTATAAGAGTTAGAAGTCTTACACTCAATCTGGATCATTGATCCACTTGTATTCAATGGCTCTCATTACCAAAAAAATTGAGCCCTTAGATAAAAGTGGAATTAACGGACAAGATTAAGAGTGTAACTTACACTGGTGTAAAATGATCTTGACCCATATATATATATATATATATATATGGGCATAATATTCTTACACTGGTGTAAGAGTTAGAAGTCTTACACTGAATCTTGATCATTGATCCACTTGTATCCAATGGTTCACATTACTAAAAAATTTGAGCCTTCAGATATAAGTGGAATCAACGGACAAGATTGAGAGTGTTATTGAGAGTGATACTGATCTTATATATATATAGACAATTTTTTTGTCAACAACTCTACATGCTATCTTGTGAACAATGATTAATTATTGGCATTCTCCTTGATTCAGGTAGATAATCGTATGCTTGATCCAATGAAATGACAGTCCCATTTGATCTTACCTGAGTATGATTATTTAAATCCTTACCTAGTACTTAAAACTTTAACACTCTCCCACAAAATAAAATAAAACAAAACATATATTTATCACTAGCGTATTCGTTTTACCTTCCATTTGGTTTTTTTTTTTTCTTTCTTTTTTGTTTTGGTGTTTCAACCTCAAAAGCAAACTCCTAATCTTTATTTGAAGATTAGATGTTGGTATCTGTTATCGCTCTCATGAATTTAGTGCTCACTTATTCGATGACAACATTAAGGCACCACAATGATTTTTGCTGTCTTTGTTCTCTAGAGAATTTGGGAGACGTGCAATGACAAAGTAGTGTTCAACAATAAAGATTGGGATGTTGCAATAGTAGAACTAATAAAAACAATAATTATTATATTGCCGATGAAGATCAGAAGAGTTCTTCAACTTATAAGGACTATTATCTGTCTTTTGCCTATCAATCTAAATACTGGTGGTGCTTTTTAAGATTCTCCTTTTTTGCTCCCTGGACAGTGTGCATTTTATTTCATAATTGAAAAAAACAGAAATATAACGATGAGGCAAAGTATTGAGTTTTTTTTTTTTGTATGATTATTACTTTAAGCAATTTTTATATTTTAAATTTATTGGTGTACAAACAAACAACTTGCTCTTAGTATATCCGTGCAACGATAGTTCTCACGTCACTATCAATAATGGTCATACTTATGTTACTTCCTCATACAATATTATTACTCCGCAGATCATTTTACCAAATCTTGGGTCCTGTAGCTCTTTGCATTTTGCATCCAACTCCTCCAGTTGGGATCCCGTTTATATCAATGTTCATTTACGTATATATATAGTGAAGGTGGTGGGGGGTTGGTATTGTTATGAGAGTAATAGTACATTTATATCTAATTAATTACACACACAAAATTTACCCTCCTTTTCATACTGCTTTTAATTATGCAAAAAGTTATATTAAAAACTTTTGGCAAAAAAATTATAAGTATTCCTTGATCGAATTTTACCCCTCATTCATGCTGATATTGTAAACTTTAAATCCAGGTGAGAGGTTTTTAAATTTTTTGTGCATCTGTTTATCAATATATGTGGAAATCTATAATTAATTATCAACATCTTTTTTAAAAAATGAGAAAGAATTACATGAACAAACGAAAGATAGTAAGGTCTGTTTATAAGTTTTGAAAAGGTTAAATACCCATAATCCAAATCCAAAGATTTATAAAGACTACTTCAAAATAAAATACAGTTTAAGGAGTACTTAATCCCATAACGTGAATAAATTATTTTAGTGCTATATTGGTTAAAACCGGAGCAATTCTAAAAATAAATAAATTAAGTAGTCTAATTATAATATAATAAATATTGAATGGAAGTTTTGATATATGTCTCATTTTAACACAATTAGGTTACTTGAAAAATCTAAATCAATGTATGTATACAATTTTAATAACAAAGTCCAATAAAAACACACAATTTGATTATATTAAAATATAGCAAGCAAGGTCCCACATGCTTTTATCAAATTTTAAAATTTTGAATTCAAAAAACTGTTTAAATTAACAATAAAATTAATTGGGAGACAGGAGAGGGACAAAGAATGGTGGTGGTAGTGGGCAAAGCCGCCAGTGAATGTGGGGAGGAAGATGGAATGGTGATGGCTAAGGTGGGGGGACTCTTACTTTACTTAGCCAAGTCCTCTCCACTGTTTTGATGATGCAGGGTTCAGCCCCACACCTAATGAAACATGAGGCTATCATAATGGCTTAGCCTTCCTTGCATGGACAGTGACATGGAAGATGGGAAACATGCATTGTGCATCAAGTCTTGATTTTAAGATAAGATTGTGACTTTTGATTCCATATATCTACCCCACCATTATTTATGCTATTTAGAGATAAATGTATATGCCTGATTAATAGCTTTTATGCATACACAATCTGGGACAAATTCAGAAAATACCCAAGGCGGGTTGAAAATAAAGCAAACTTGAATAATCCATTAAATAAAAATTAAAGTGACAAAAGTATTTAAATATTGGGGAAGGATCCATTTGCAATTTTTTTTTACAAATTACACTAAATATGACCGGTCACAATAGTGGACCTGTTTGGACGCCTTTATCTGCAAGTGCAGATATAAACCTCTGAAATTTTGTTTTTGTTTTTTTTGTTTGTTTTAAGTATAGTAGTAAAGCATGATATTGGTTAATTAGACTTTGCTTGATATATAATGGGATGAAATGAAAATGAATGGAATACGGTGGGATGGAATTGATGGGATGCTATATGTTTTATTGGATATTTTATGATGTCATACAACAAATCAACTTGATTAAAATAAAAGTGTTGGGAATAATTTTTTATGTTAAGTTAAATTTTTTTTTTCTTTTCTTATTTATATTTTTTTATTTTTAATACATTTAAAATTTTCTTTAAAAAAAATTTCAGGGGTAGCCATCTAAATGTGCGGACACAAACAATATTTTCTGGGTCCGTCACTGACCGATCATACACTCTTAATTAAGTATGACTGGTCAGATATAGTGTAATTTGTAAATAAAAAATTTATAAATATAACTTTTCCCTTAAATATTAATAACAAAAATGAAGTAAGCATTAGTAAGACTTTTTGGTTTTATAAAAAAAATTACATATATATTATTTTAAATATTTGAGGACGAGACCATGCCCACGATCGCCTCCCAGCTGGATCTGTGCAGGTCTAAGTTAATTATATTGCATTTCTTATAGAAACTTGTAAACTAAACAAACTGAATTAAAAT